ACCCCCACCCCCACCCGCACGGGCACCGGCACCCGCACGGAACGGAACGGAACGGAACGGTACGGTACGGTGTGGTACGGCACTGCACCGGCACCGGCACCGGTACAGCACGGCACTGACACCGGCACCGTCAGGGATCGGTCCACACGGCGCAGCACGGGATGGAGCGGGACGCGGTCCGGGAAGGACCCGCACAGCACGGCACGGCACAGCACGGCACCGTACGGCACAGCACGGCACCGTACGGCACAGTACAGCATGGTACGGCACGGTACGGTATGGCACGGCACAGTTCGGTACAGCATGGTACTGTATGGCACGGCACAGGACAGCAGGGAGCACGGTGGAGCAGGACAGCACGGCACGGCTCAGAAGGGCGCGGCATGTAGCACTACGGCACAGTGTGTCACGGCACAGCACGGCACAGCGTGGCACAGACAGTGGGGAGCAGGCCGGATCAGCACCTGACAGTGCGGAGCAGCATGGCACAGACCCGCACGGCACTATCCTGTCTGGCACGGCACAGCGTGGCACAACATGGCACGGCATGGCATGGCACAGCACAGCACCAAGGGGCAGTGTACCACCCAGAAGGGTGGAGCACAGCATGGCTTGGCACGCATGGAGCACCACAGAGCGGGACGGTGCCAAGTGGGGGGACAGGCTGCGGTGTAGGGACACAATATCGGTCATGGCACAGTAACACACGGTGCAGTACAGTAGCGCACGGTACATCATGGTCTAACATACGGTATGGCAACATGTGGCACAGAATGGTACAGAACAGCACGTACCGGCGTGGCACTAGACAGGACACAAGTGCGCAGAACAGCCTCAAACAGCACCGGTGGCAGAGCCAGGCATGGTGCAGTGGGGGGTGGGCACAGAAGGGATTGGTACAGCACGGCACAGGAGGCACACAGGGCACTGGTACAGCACAGCATGGCACGGGGGACACACAGGGCACTGGTACAGCACAGCACAGAGGGGCACTGCAGGAACAGGGTGTGCTGGGAGGGAACGGCAGCGTCAGTCACAGACCAGTGATGCTGGCGGCACCACCGGGGTCCCTCTGGTCCAGCCCGGCTCCCCCGGAGCCAGTGGCCCAGGATGATGTCCAGCCCCTGAGGATGGCAACCCCACCACTGCCCTGGGCAGTCCGTGCCTGTGTCACCCCCACAGTGACGAGTGTCTCCTGGTGCTCAGTGGGGCCCCCCGTGTGCCAGTCTGCACCCCTGGCCCTGGCACTGCCGCAAAGAGCCTGGATCCTCCTGCCCCTGCGCAGGTGCTGCTGCCCACGGATGGGACCCCCCCAACTGACTCCTCTCCAGCCGGGCAGCCCCCGCAGCCTCCTACGGCCCTGGCCGGGCTCTGCCTGGCATGTCCCTGGCTCATACTGGGCAGCCCAGCACTGGACCCAGTGCTCTGGGGTGCCTTCCCCAGCGCCGGGCAGGACAGTGCGGCACGGCACAGCACAGGGCTGTGGTGTGGCAGGGCACGGCTCGGCCCAGTACAGCAGCATGGCTCAGCATAGCATGGCTCCAGGCAGGATGGAACGGCATGGAGTGGTGCAGTGTGGCACAGTGCAGGTGGTGTGGGTCAGTACAGTGTGGTACAGTGTGGTGCAGGACACATGGTGGGGTAAAACACAACATGGCACAGTGTGGCACAGAGCAACAGGACAGGGTGCCGTGTGGGACAGCGCGGCAGGGCACAGGACAGCACTGTGTGGTATGGTAAGGTATGGCATGGCATGGCATGGCATGGCACAATAGTGCCATGAGGCACGGCACAGCACTGTGCACTGTGGCACGTTACAGGACGACACGTTTCAGTCAGCACGGTATGGTGTGGCTCAGCACCAGGTGGTGCTGTGTGGCACAGCACAGCATGGTACAGCCCACTTCAGCCCAGTACAGCCTGCTACAGCCATGGACTGCCCCCCCATACCACATCCCCTGGGAGTCACCTACCAGGACACCCCTGCAAGACCTGAGGACCTGCACCTGCCAGGTTCTGCCCCACTGCCCCTGGCACAGCCAGCCAAGGTGGCACGGGCACAGGGACAGGGACAGCACCATGCTGCCCCGCGGCCACTGCAACCTGCCTGCACTGGCCCCACCGCCCTCCCCAGCACCCCCAGAGAGGGCAGGGGGATCTCAGGGTCTCCCTGGCTTTTATTGCATCCCAGCCACAGACATGCCAGGGCCAGCAGAGCCCCAGGACTGGCAGCACCGTGGGGGCCCAGGCAGTGGCACCAGCCCTGGTCACTGGGGGCAGTGGAAGAAGTGGGTGGCGATACTCTGGGGGGCTACGGGCTCTTTGGCCCCCAGCAGCTGGGCCACGCTGTGGTACTGATAGTAGCTGGGGCCGTGGAAGAGGAAGACGCCGTCATTGGTGCACATGGCGCCGTCCACGTGGTCGTGGGGCAGCGGCACCGGCTCGCCTGCCTGCCGTGGCGTCTGCGTCAGGTCCACCAGCCGAATGCGGTCCCCTGTCGGCACAGCACCCATCAGCCCCACGCCCGACCCAGCAGAGACCCCGGCACCAGAGGGTCCCGGCTCACCGGCTGCCTACCTGTGATGAGGTAGAGGTTGGCAGAGCCGGGGCAGGTGAAGGCAGCATCAGTGCTGGAGACCCCCAACTCATCCTGCAGGGCCCGTGGGTAACCCAGCACCCGCCGGTGGCCCTGCCCCGAGAGGAAGATGGAGACCTGGGAGCCCTGGAGAGAGCAGATGGTGTGGGCCACGGGTGGGCAGGGATGGAGATGGGAGAGGGATCAGGCAAGTACAGGATAGCTGGGGATGGGCAGAGACGGGCAGGGCCACGGGGCTGCCTGCAGGCTGGGGCAGGCTTGGGGACGGGTTTCAGAGGGTGCCCGGGGGCTCTGGGCGGGGGTGGAGGGCCTGAAGGTGCATCCCATGGAGGGCTGGGGGCGAGGGCAGCACGGTCCTGGGGGCCACTGCCATATGCTGTGCCTCCACGTCCCCAGGCTGCCCTGGGGCAGGGGGGGGTGACTTCCTCGAGATGCCCTGGTCCCAGGGGTGACTTCCCCCAGCAAGCCGCAGTGCCAGGATCGAGGTGCCTGAGCTGCCCCATCTCAGGCATAGGCCTGAGGGGGGGTCTTGCCAGTGGGGCAGCAAGCTGGGGATGGGGGCGGGACCCACAGGGGATGGGAATGGGGACAGGGCATCCCCACGGGGCCAGACCTGTATCAGGTAAGTGCGTCCATCCCAGGCGAAGGCAGCATCCACCTCTCCCTCCAGTCCCGGCCACGTCTGTCCCAGGGGCCAGGCGTGGTGCCCGTCCCGCAGCGAGTCCAGGCGGAAGGACAGACCCCCTGCGGGATGCGTCAGCAGCCCTGCCCCACGGCACAGCCCCACGGCACGGCCGCAACCGCAGCCCACCACCACGGCCCCGCAGCACAGCCAGCCCCACGCTCCATGGCCCCACAGAGGACCACCGTCCTTTGCCCCGCAGCCCCTGCCACACAGCCCCCAGCATTGCCACTGACCCGGCCGACCCTAGCCCCCTGCCGCCCCTCACCACGGAAGGCATAGATGCGTCCAGTGTCATCAGAGAGGAGGGCCTGGAAGGGCATCTCGCTGCAGCGGTCACCAGCAGCCCCCCACGAGGTGTTCCCATGCCCTGCCGGCAGCAGCAGCAGTGGCAGTGGGGCCGGGGCACTGCGGGCAGGAGCCGGACCCCAGGGTCCGGGGACCCTCTGCCGCTGTGGGGCTCAGGGCCCCGTGGGAGGGGGTCCCCAGGGGGTGGCCGGGCACTCACCTCGGCCCGGGCAGGGTATGAAGTAGTCGCGGAGATCACGGGGGTAGCCAGGGGGCACCTTGCCAGTGAGGGGGTCGAAGCGCTGGAAGCGGGTTCCCCGCAGGCAGTAGTACCGCTCCAGCCAGCGCAGGGCAGTGTCGCAGGGGCCCAGCCCCGGCCACGTGCGTGGCTTCGTCACCCGCAGCACCAGGTCGAAGGCGTACACCGTGTCCCCTGCGCACGGCAACGGCACCGCCGGCGCAGTTTGGCACAGCTGGCAAAGCTCAGCAAGGCTGCCAGCACGTGAGCCCCACACCACAACCCCCCAGCCCCTGCAGCCCCTCCATGCCCCACAGTAGCCCCTCTGCCCCCCACCACTGCCGCCCCACGGCAGCCCCCTCCGTGCTCCATGGCTGCCCCTCTGGACCCCATGGCAGCCCCCTGGCCGTCAGCCTCCTGCTCCCCCACCTGACCCCGGGCCCCGCTCACCCTTGAAGAAGAGGATGGTCTCGCCCCCGCATTCCTCGGGGTGGCACTCCACGGCAGCGTCCAGCCCCCCAGGGACCCCCGGGAACTCGTCCCCTATGCGCCGGGGGAAGCCGGGCTGCAGCTGCCCCCCGAAGTAGGCCCACACCTGCTCGCCCTGCAAGCACCCCACGGGCTGACACCCACGGGCACCACCCCGGGGACCCCCGTGGGGCCAGACCTGGGGGGAGACCCCCAGGACAGG